CATCATCTTGGTGCTCCTAGCTCTCTACCACCAACACAGAGTGGCTGACGCTTCAACCAGGCAGCTCAGATCGCAATGAGGACAACGTAATGCATCTGGGCTGGAAACACTGGACAGGTAACTTTTTGCAGGTGGGTGGCAGCATTTAGTGCTGAGTGGCTGTTGTGGTGGGCAGAAGGAGAGAAATAGAAGGGACACCTTGCAGACTTGATGACAGAGTTATTCTGAAGAGATTTATTAGCAGTGTCTTCCCTGGCTAGGCAGTAGGGGGAGGGCTCTGTGTCAAGAGGTGTGTGTGCTAAGGGAAGAGGAAGAGCCTGCTTGGCAACCTGGCTTTCCAAGCCTTGGGCCAGATAAGGAAGAAGAAGGAGAAGAGGAGAAGAAGGAGAAGAAGGAGGAGGAGGAGGAGGAGGAGGAGGAGGAGGAGAAGAAGAAGGAGGAGGAGGAGGAGGAGGAGGAGAAGGAGGAGGAGGGGAAGGAGAAGGAGGGGAAGGAGAAGGAGGGGAAGGAGAAGAAGAAGAAGAGGAAGAGGAAGAGGAAGAGGAAGAAGAAGAAGAAGAAGAAGAAGAAGAAGAAGAAGAAGAAGAAGAAGAAGAAGAAACATTTACGTGTAATCCCCCTCCCAAAGAAAGCTACTGTCTACATTTTTTCCCCCCACATACCCCAGTTTGAGGATACTGTCAACATTTTGGTGTGAACCTTACTTAGTCTTTTCCCTAGTTCAAATATAAACCTGACATTAAAAGGAAAATGAAATCATATTGCCTGTAATATTTTTGTGACTTGTTTTTCTTTTAGTGTAAATCATTTTTTTCCACGTTACTAATATTCTTAATATTGTTCTTGTCTACGTAGACTTTCACTGTGTGAATGCACTCTAGTTCATCTCTGTGGTGGTGAAGAGCATAGGCTCTGAAGACTGCTGGGGTTCAAATCACAGGTCTTTCAACATTAACTGGCTGTGAAAACATGGGCAAGTGAATAAACCTTTCTGTGCTTTGGTTTCCTCACTGGTAAAATGGGGATAAAAGCAATTCCTTTACAGGGTTGTTTGGAGGAGCAAATGACTTTATATATGTGAGGCACTTAGAATAATCTCTCAGTGTTGTTATTATTATTATTATTATTATTATTATTATTTTTGAGACAGAGTCTCGCTCTGTCTCCCAGGCTGGAGTGCAGTGGCCGGATCTCAGCTCATTGCAAGCTCCGCCTCCCGGGTTCAAGCCATTCTCCTGCCTCGGCCTCCCGAGTAGCTGGGACTACAGGCGCCACCACCTCGCCCGGCTAGTGTTTTGTATTTTTTAGTAGAGATGGGGTTTCACCGGGTTAGCCAGGATGGTCTCAATCTCCTGACCTCGTGATCTGCCCGTCTCGGCCTCCCAAAGTGCTGGGATTACAGGCTTGAGCCACCGCGCCTGGCCTCAGTGTTATTATTTAACCAACATTTTTGTTGAATATTTAGTTCATTTCCAGGTTTTCACTCTTACAAATACACTGTAATTAACAAATTCAGTGCACTCTTAATTGCTTCCAAAGACAATATCTGTGGTCACATTTAAAAATCTTTTCCAGAGTGAATCATGCACTCAACACAAATGGAGTGTCCATATGCACAAAGCATTATGTTATGCACAAAGAATAAACACAGTTCTCTTCTTGAAGACATCTAAAATGTAGTAAGGAAGAGGAGAGAAAAGGCTCATGCAAATATAAGCATAATACTATGTAGAAAGAGGGCACACATGAAGACCTATGGGAGATTCTTTAGCTGGAGAATCAAATCATTCAATGACAGAGAAAAACAGACTCCCTCTTCTGCTCCCACCACTTCCCAAATCCCCAAGTCAGAATTCACAATGGTCTCCTTTTGTCACGTTGAGTATTTGTTACCTCGAAAGAGCACACCCAGGGCTGTGTTCCAAGTTAAAAGCTGGGATATGGGCGTATACTGCAAGACCAAATATTTAGGAAATACCTTTTTCTGGAAAGGAAAGAACACATTTCACAGCTGAAAAGAGAAGTGAAAAATGAAACTAAAGAAGCATGAAGGTAATATTTACTTGCTAGATTTATACAGTGCCTACCTTTAGAAAAGCTGGGCTATCAATCCTGCACGTGACCCCCTAACACACATACACTCTGTTCCCAGTGACTTGGCTCTTTGTGAATTATCTGCAGCATATTTTGCAATCATTTCACACTGTTCATCTCCCTGCAGCCCTGCCCCCACCAGCTCACCCACACTTCACCCCTCAGAAGAAGGAGTAAGATAATGGTAGAGCCTAAGTCTGGTGTCAGATACGTCTGGGCTAAGTCCAGGCTCCACAGTTACTCACCTGGGTGACCCTGGACATTGTAATTTAAGTCTCAAAGACTCAGTTTCCATATCTATAAAATGGGGATAATAATGACAATAACACATAGCTTATTGAGTTGCAATGAGGATTAAGTAAGATAAAGGCTGTAAAATGCCTGTCACAGTACCTGGCACAGAGCACTCACTAGTGTTAGCTATTATTATTATTCCTGCACTTGTGTGTAAAGGGGATGCAAACCAATTTTAGTATTCATTTAAACAAATTATCAGCTGCAGCAGCCTCTGAAACACAGGCCTATGATGCATCCTAAAGTAAATGGGAAATATTTGAATTTGTGTCATTTCTAATTTTCTCTATTAGGTTGAAAATTGAGTATGAACACACCAGAATGGCAAGGAGGCCAGATTTCTCTTGTAACCAACAAAATTGAGATCGCTATTCACATTAGAATGAAGATAACTGATACAGCTTAATACCTCTCCCAGGGGCACTTGCATTTTAAACTGGGGCCAGAACCACTGGACAAAGGAAGGAAACAGGAGTGGTAAGGTTTCAGGTATCAACTAAGGGACCAACAAGATGCATTTTGATAGGGGGAATTGCAACACTCCTGAAAGTGCTCAGGCACTCATTCATTTCATTCAACACATATTATGTACTTACTATCTGCCAGACACTGCTCCAGGCACTGGTGAACAAAATAGATGACTTCCTGTCTTCATGGGGGTTACATTTTAGTGGGGGGATACAGACAATAAACAATAAAGTTAATGAATAAGTAAACTATATACTATGTTAAGCAGGGATTCAATAAGAGTAAGGGGAGATTGGGAGTGCTGTGGGGGTCCGTCAGGATGAATCAGGATGAGGTCCTGGTGAGCCTCATTGAACAGGTGAGATTTGCAGAAAGCTTTGAAGAAGCCGAGGGCGTTTGTGTTCCAGGCAGTGGGAATAGCTAGAGCAAAGGGCTTATAATGTGCGGTGTGTTGGGGAGTCATTTCGGGACTGTCTGGGGGCCGGCCAAGAGGCTAGTGTATCCTGAGTGAGGGGACGGCAGTAGGAGATGATGTAAGAGGATTTGTACTCGGCCATTCCTGTAGGTCACCACAAGGACCATGGCTTTTACTAAGTGAAATGGGTAACCACGGAGGGTTTTGAGCAGAGGAGAGCTGTGATGTGTTTTAAATGGGTTACTCCAATTGCTGTATTGAGAAAATACCAAAGCAGGGGAGAGGGAAGGTAGGCCAGGGGGACCAGCTACTGGAGAAACCTGGGTGAAGGATGTTGGCTCAGCCCCGGGCGGTGGCAGTGGAGGAACTGAGAAATGGTCAGGTTCTGGATTCACCTGAAGGCAGTGCCAGCAGGATCTCCTGATGGACTAGACGTGGAATGATAAGAGAAAGGAGTCAAGAGGGACTCCAGGATTTTGATCTGAGCAACTAGAAGTATGGGATTGTCATCGACTGCGAAGGGGAAGGCTGTGTGAGGAGCAGGCTTTGAAGAGATCAGGAATTCAGGGTTGGATGTATTAGGATTGAGATGTCTATTAGACAGAGTCTGGAATTCAGGAGAGCGGTCTGGGCTGGAGATAGACATTTGATATGGACAGCTGCTGAAAGCCACGGGAATGGTTAGGGTCCCCCAGGGAATGAGAGTGGATGTGGAAGCGAGGAGGTCTTACGTGGAGGCAGGTAGAGGTTTTCCCCAAGAGGGAGTTGTAGGCCCCCCTGAAAGGGATCACGAAGCCCTACTGGAGGGGAGCCCGGTCCTGCAGGGGGTGCCGTGGAACTTGCTGCGGTTGCAGGCAGTTCTGGAGGGAAGTGTTTGCTTCTCCGGGAAGGAGAGGTGCTGGATAGGTTCCTGCCGGAGTTGCAGAAATAATTAAGAGAAGTGGGTAAGGATATCCTAGCAGAACACGTGCTCGGCTGCCTCCAAGGAATTAGCAAACCTGGGTCTTAGGAATCTGTTCAGACATCTGGGCACCGCTGCCTCGCCTACCAGGCTCCGCCTCGCTGCCCCTCCCGCTTCCCCTCCCCTCCTCTGTCACTTCTACAACCGCTCTGATTATAATTGATCAAACAGAATCACGGAATCACGGCTCATTTTGCCGTTTTGTTCGGTGGCCCGATCCGAAACCAGACTCTGGTAGTTGGGCAAATTATATTCCTCCTCCTTGGAATTCCGCTCACAGAGGCCTTGCCGGCGTGGCCGGCCCAGCAGGGACGCGCCGCCGCAGCTGAAGAGAGAACGCGGGCGGGGGGCTGCAGGCCGGCGCGGGGGGCGCGACGCCGCCGGCGGGGCGCGAGGGGGTGTGTCCGCGCCGCGGCCACCGCGGCCACCACGGCGGGCGTCCGGGTCCCCCGCGCGCCTCGGCCTCCCCGGGGGCTCCTCACGCCGCCCCTCGCCCGCCGGCGGCCGGGGCCCGCTCCCCTTGACGTCATGCGGGCCGAGGGCTCGCTCGGGCGGCGTTGCCGCGGGCGCCGAGAGGGGGCCCAACTTCGGGCTCCAGTCAGCCGCCGTGCGCCCCGCGCCGTGCGCCCGGCTCCCTGCGCGCCGCCGCCGCCACATCTGGAAGCGTTCAGCGCGTCTGCCTCCGGCGCGCCGGGCGGGCGGGCGGGCGGCGCGGGCAGGGGCGGGCGCGGGCGCGGCGGGGCTGGGCCGGGGGGAGTGAGCGCGGCGCTCTCGCGCGCCCGGTGTCTCCCTCTCGCTGCCTCTGCAGAAACAGCTCCTGCCAGAGCGGCGCTCGGCGCGGCGCGGCGCGGCGGGCCCGGAGCGGCGGCGGCGGCTCTTCCTGCCTCCGCGCCCAGGAGTTGCCGGCTCCCTTTGACAGCAGAGAGCCGGGCAGGGGCCTCAGGAGGACTCGCCGGGAGTGGGCAGAGGCGCCTCGGCCCCTACCGGCCCAGGCGGGCCCCGCGCGCCCCCCGCCCCTCCTTTCCGCCTCTTCTCGCCCTGCCTCTCCCGATTTATTTTTTCAAATGGTGTAGCCGCCAGAGGTGCGGTGCTCAATTCTTGGAAGGGGCCCGGATGTACTGAGGATGCATTACAATTTCACTCGAGGAGGCAGTAGTGGAAAGGAGCAGTTTTTGGGGTTTGATGCCATAATGGGAATCAGGTAATCGTCGGCAGGGAAGAAGCAGCACTGCAGACCACGGCTTCCTCGAATCTTGCACGAAAGCCGCCGGCCTCGGAGGAGGGATTAATCCAGACCCGCTGGGGGGTGTTTTCACATTTCTTCCTCTTCGTGGCTGCTCCTCCTTTGAAAACCATTTTTGGTCCATGGTCAATGAGAATACGAGGATGTACATTCCAGAGGAAAACCACCAAGGTAAGGCTGGACCCCGCTGCCTCGCCGGGGCTCCCTGCCTTCTCCACCGGGTTCCTGCTCTCCCCGCGCTCCCCGAGGCCCCGGGGTCGGTCCCTGCAGAGTGGCCCGGGGCCGCGTCCGCCAGGGGCGCCTCCGCCTCGTCGGAGCGCCCGGGAGCCCGGCGGGACCGGGGCCCGAACCGCCGCGCGAGACGGAGCGGAAAATTCCCGCCCCTCCCCCCCCGGGCCCCAGCTTCTCCAGAGCATGTGTTTCCTATGAAATTCCAGGCGAGGGGGGAAAAGTTCCCCAAGTGGCTGCCGCCGCCTCGCTTTCTCGCGTTCGCCTGGAGAGCCCGGCTGCCTGGCCAGCCGCGCGGGGGGCAGAGGGCGCCGGCGCCGCGGAGCCCAGAGGCCCGGGGTCCCTCGCCCGGCTCGGGGCGCGGCTGGGAGCGCGCGCGCGCGCACCCCGCGCCGGCAGAGCCCGGCGCCCACGGCCGCCCCTGGGGCGCCCTGGCGCTGCCCGGCGTCCACTCTGGTCCAGGCGCCCCTGCCCTGGGCGGCGCGCTCCAGGTGGCGGGTGGGGGCGGCGGTGCAGATGTGAGCCCCAGCGCGCCCCTCTCGCTCCCCCTCGGTCGGTCCCCTTCTTCCTCTCTCCCTCCCTCCTCCGCCGCTCACCTACTCCCACCCACCTCTCCACTGCCGTTGACCCCGAGCGCGCCCACGCCGCGTGTGTTCTCATTCGCACCCATATGTGGGCTAGCACCTGAGGATGGAAGCGGCGAGGAGCCGGGCGGTGTGTGGGCTTTGCTGTTTCGTGTTTGAAGGAGATCATGAAAGGGTGTGCCTGGCTCACGCGGCTCCATACTATTGCCCAGTGTTTTCCGAGCATCTCCATCCTTGGCCGCAAGTGTCACCAGCTCCCCCTGTGATGGTGAAAGGCAGTCAGGTAACTCCCTACTTCCTGGAAACTTTCTCCCTCGCCGCTCTCCCCCCATATTAACAAGTTATTTTCTTTGACGTTGCTCAGCATTTAAGGTTTTGAGGCGGGGGAGTGCAGACAGGGTGGTCCCGCGGGGCTTTCTGGCAACCTCCAGGCGTGACATCTCTTTCTTCTCGCCACTGCATTCTCTGTCTCTTTGGTGTAGTCTCGCCCTTTTCTCTCCCAGTTCCCGGAGCCTCCCTGTTTCCACTCTTCCTCTTCTCTTGCCCTGAAAGCCTGTCTGTCACTGCTGGTCTCTGTTCCTTCCCTGGGTTCTTCCAAGTGATCCTACGAAGACCAGCCTGGTGGAAGGAGTTGTCTCCAGGTCTTTCTGTCCAGCTTTCCCCCTCTGTTTGCTCCCAGCTCCACCTTCTGGGGACAGGGCCTTCACTCTTTAGAACCAGAAGCTGCCAGCCGGCCGGCCTGCCTGGTCTCCATCTCTCCTGAGACTGATTTTGGGGCCAGTCTTCTCTGCTTTCCAGCATGGGTGGCAGCATGGGATTTTGGCCTCCTTTGGAAGAAAGAATCTTGTCAAGGGTCATGGGTTCTGGGGTGAGACAGGACTTCGGGGTCACAAGGGCAGCGTCCATGTTTGGATTTCTCTACTGGTGACCCCATCCCTCGCCTGCTCCTCTGTCCCTTCTGTAGCTGATGGGATAGTGAATGGTTTAGGAGGGAGGGAGGGAGACACAAAAGACAGTGGCATTTGTGAAGAGTGGGGATGCAAGACGACTCCCCTCCAGGTTCTGAGACTGCGTGCTTTACCCACCTCCTCAGTCTAAGCAGCATTGAAGAGGCGAGCTCTGTAGTATTGCCCTAAGTATCACTGTCAATGGCAATGTACTGTGGTAATAATAATGATTATTCACAGGATGATAATCGTAACTAGTTTACAAGGACTCCTCTTAGTGCAGGATTAAACCCCTTCTGATCCCATTTCCTTACTCTGGTTGTTTTCTTTTGCCCCTTTGCGTCTCAGCATCTCCCCGCCGTATGCTGGGAATAGACATTAAAAGTAGGAGTGCCAACCCCAGAGAGGTTCCTGAGAAAGGTAGAGGGGAAGGGAGCAAGGGAACCAGTGGCTGAGAGCTCTACCTTTCCAGCAACATGCCAACAAACACTATGGCAACCTGAATTCCAGTTCTCTCCCTTGAAGCTGCAGTGATTATATAATTCATGGGAGCAGTTTTGCCTCCATTTCTAGATGCGGTTCCCAGGTGGAAGAGCACCAAGATCCCTGTCCCCACTCTGCTCTCCATCTTCTCTTCTTTAGTTGGTTGGCATTGCCCAGGTTTTTGGGGTAGGAGAGGGGAGGAGGGTGGTGGAGGCGGGAAAGGCAGACCTAGAAGAGGATGAATATTGACAAGGAAGAGGTTGCTGTGGCTAATCACTAAAGGGAGTGGGTGAGCCATAATAGGGGTTAGAGTTTCAGGAGACAGAAGAGGAGTCTAGGACTGCCTCAGAAGATCAGTAATGGTGACGAACCAAAGAGTCGAGAACCAAAAAAGTTGCCAGTGGCCGGGGCTGTGCATCCGTCTCTTCCCAACATGCTCCAAGACATGGTCCTTGCACCCTCACCTTTTCTGTGGAGTGTGTGCATGTGTGAGAATGTGTGTGTGTGTGTGTGTTTTGAGGGTTGAATAGGAGACTGGAGGTCAGTGCCTGGGAACAGCCTGGAAGTTCATGGCAGGACGAGCTTCTGACCCTGGGTTTCAGGCTGGGGTGGCACCCTCAAACCTTGCCTCACCTCTGGTGCCCTGTCTGCTCTGGGCCTGGGCCAGCCTCCCACTTTTCTGGGCCGATTTTCCATTGCAGGCTCCAGCTAGCAAATGAGTGTCTTAATAGTCAACCACTGAACAAATAAAACACCAGAATGTCCCTTATCTGCTAGAGACAAGGCAGAGGGGAGAAACATGTGTTCTCAGAGTGCAAGACACACTGTGCTTTTCTTTTAACTACTTAGCAATTCAGCAGAGTAAGAATCGCTGTCATAAGGTAATAATAATAATGATCACAGCTAACTTTCTTTACAAATGGTCAGAGAACAATGTTGCTCGCACATCAGCTTGAGCAGGTTAAAGAAAGCTGTGGCATTAGCTTTGCTTTTTCTTGATCCTGCATGGAGAAAATTGGAGAAAAGGGGCTTTTGGAGTTCAGCATATTATTCCTACTATTGGTCAGGTACTTTTTAGTGTTTCATAATATGACAGAATATATTAAAAAGAGTCAAGTTTTCATTATTTCCATAGAATACACACTAACAGTATTTAAGTGTGTGTGTGTGTATACACGCATGGAATAAGGAAAAGCTGTTTAAAATAGATCACACAAGAGGCTGATGTCCTTCAGGGACCTGGGGTGTTGAGAGAGGAGTATTGATAATGCAGTCTCCTAAGACTGTTTAAACATTTCTTCTTCATAGTAAAGGGAGACTTGTTCTTACAGGTAGATGCTGCAGGCAAAGTGCTTTGCAAATGAAATGATGAGCCATTAGCCCCCTGGGACCATGTCTCGGTCTTGGCAATGACCTAGGACTCTTCAATTTTTTTCTTCAACTAAAACTGCTTGAGTTGGGTTCTTCTGTAAGACCTACCAAACGGGTCCAAGGAGCATACCGAATGGAGATTTCGAGGCCCAGCTAATCTTTGGATCCCTGCTTCCTAGTACTGGCCGCTGCCGAGTCCAGGGCCTTGATGCAAGGCTGAACAAATCAATGCCTGCGTGAATGAATGAATGCGACCTGGCCAGACCTGCAGTAGATGTGGCTTCTGCCTCTTCCAGTAGGTGGCGCCACAGGGCTTAGGAGTCAGGAAAGGGGCTTCAGGGTCCGGCTGGTGATGAAAGGTGTAGCGGGAGTTTGGAGCTTGTGACCTGTTGGAGCTGTGCTGCTTTCATCAGGCCCACACCTGCCCTGGCACAGGCAACCCAGAAGACCAGTGTGTCTCCATGCCACCGCCCACACTGGAGGCCCTCGCGGCATCACTGAGGGACCCAGGTCCCACAGTGACCTCTCCACCCTGTTGTGATGAAAACTCCTTTGGAGACTGCCCAGTCCATTGCAGGCTCTTCCCACAGCCGTCTGTTTCCTCCCAGCACAGACAGCATCCCGCCGAGCCTGGAGGGAGCCTTTTGGGTAAATCGCTGAACTGGGTATGGCCGTATGTTAATTTTCTCCCTGATTTTTCGCTGATGGTTTAGTAACAAGAGGGCCTGGTGGTGCCCAAGCCCAGTGGAGCATGGGGTGACCTGAAGCCATGGGATCTGGGAACCCAAACCTGGGCAGTCACGAAGCTTGTCAGCCAAAGGCAGGAAGACATTTTCCTAACTTTAATAGGGAAAAGAACACAAAAACAACTGGGTGCACTTCACAGTTGATTTCCGTTTATGAGTCTGCCTGGGTCTCCTGCTGGGTAATGGCAGAAAAGCTCAGGAGATCCAGGTTAGGAAGTAACTGAGATTTGTTCTAATTTCCAGTGATGTTTTCCAGCGCCTGGCATTTTCTTTTCTATTCCTTTCTTCACTTGGTTTTCTTAGTTGCGTGGCAAGTTCCATGAGGTCTGAGAAGCCCTTGGCACTGTGTGAAGAAGGGGTGAGTGGCTGGCAGCACTTTCTTCCTTTTACAGTAATTCCTCCCGCCTGACACAGCAGCTACTTGTTCTGTAGGAGGTACAGGTCAGCCGGCGTCATCTCACCTCTTCCTTCCCGGGACCCTGAAATCAGTGCTCAGCATTCAAATTCAGCAGACAGTTTTATTCTCCAGTATGGACTACAGAAAGCTGATAGACTGTTTGGGAAACACCTGGAGACTTAACAACAAGCCTAATGAACAAAATAATCACACTGATTTAGTCTGTTTCTAGATTCCATCCTCACAGTTGCCTAGGTTAATGTTGGGCACTGTGGAGGAGAACAGAAGATTGGTTAAAAAAAGGCATGGGGAATTGTTTTGCAACATATCAGGTGCTAAATATTTAGCGACATAAGTGCTAAACATTCTGATAATGAAATAACACTCTGAGCCGTGGCTGTCATTATTAAAATAA